AAAAAACATGATCTTTAATATGATTCAGATTGTTTCAGTCGATATGAGAATCGGGTCATCATATTGTTTCAGTCGATATAAGAATCGAGTCACCCAGTGGTACAGAATAAACACTGCTGGACTGTTTTATTTCTTTGTCATTTAGCAAAAAAATCTTTTAATTAAAATATTTATCCTTTGGACTTCGCTTTAAACTTTATAGTTAAAATGACTAGAAAAGGAAAAGCTGTCTTCAGCTGAAATGAGATTCATGTAATTGATATTTTAAAAAAATTGACAAGAATGCAAAATTTATGGAAGTCTAGCAAACGAAAAATCTTAATTTCTTGTGTGAGCACTGAAAATAACAGCAGAAGGAAAGAAGAAAATTTGGGAGCAAAGCAAGCAAAAATTTGCAGGGAAATTTGGCTGTCAGACACACCAAGATGTTTAAAAAAGTTGGACGCTTTTGAATATACTTTCAGGATACTTCAAAGAATTTAGGTGTTCAAAGAGAAAACAATTGGACGTGTACACCAGAGCTTGTGTTAACAGAAAAGACAAAAATGATATCATTGCAGATTAAAGTGAAGAGAGACTGGTTTTACTCTATATGGTTGTATAAATTTAAATTACGTTATAGAACATCATATCGTATCATAAACGGAGAATCCCACGATTTCTCAGTCAAATTATTTGAAGATTGAGGAGTTTATCCAGTGAGTATGTGGATGTCACCTAAAGACTTTTTTTCCCCCTCCTGATGAAACAGCAGCCGAGCGGTAAAGTCGCTGAACACTGGTAATACGGTCCGAGGTTCGAATCCTGCGAACAGGCTGCCTGCATGGGCGTTTTCGTGGTTTTTCCCATGTGTAACGTGTATACGAGTTAGTTCCCCTTAGAAAGTCCTCCACGAAGGCATCCCTCACCTTAGGTACCTTAAACCAAAACCTCTTGATGAAACCAGTCTTTCCTTGTATCTCATACCTTCAAAATGCTTAGCCTCTAAAGACTGATAAAGGCTCTGATGAAATGGATTGAATTAGATTATTAAGTTACGACAAAGCAGGGCAATCTGCCTAAAAGGAAGGATGCCTTTGTGAAGAAATTTCTAAGGGAAACCAACTGACATAAACGCATTTAGCCCGCTTACCAGGATTTGAACCCTGGAGTCAACTACCAGTGTTCAGCGACTTTACCGCTCGCCCGTTTGTGGGCCTTTATTAAATGGAAGGCGATAACTTTATTTAAAATGATTGTCGGAAATGCTTCGAAAAGTTGAATGCTTTTTAATATACTTGCAGAATGCCTAAAGAAAAAAAGCAAGAATGAAGCAGAATGTCTGAAGAAAAAGAGAAGAAAAATTAATTTTTTTGTAAAATTTAGTATTTGTACTTTTTTTAATTTAATTGACTAAAATATGAATAAAATTTTAAGAAAACAAATGTAGGATAAAATTGTGTAAAGCAATGGGCACAATGATAGAACTGTTTAAAATAATGTATGCAAGTCATCCTAAGTTAAAATGTCAGTTATACATCTCTCTTATTTATATATATGTATCTTCTTTGAACGGAACATTGAAAGGCATGTTAAGTGTGCTTTACTGTATTTTCTCTTTTAATATATGCAGTTTTCAAATGCATCGTAGTCTGGGTTACAAAGTATTCTTCTGAAAGAAACGCAATTCAAATAAATAAAATCAAATTCTGGAAAATTAATATTAATAAATATATTTAAAATGCTCAGTTTGAGTGAATAAATAGAAAATTTTAAAATAATTATCTGAAGAGACAATGCAACACTAACAGTTAAAATAAAAGTCTAAAAATTTAAAAATTACCTAAAATAATAAGTATGACTAAAAACATAGTATACAGAAAACTATTTGAAAAAAAACAATAAACGATGCACCTTTGATTTAAACTACGCAGTTCGAATGAGTAAATAGCAATTTTTAAAACAGTTATTCGAAAGAAACTATGCAAAGTAAACAATTAAAATAAATTCGAAAAAGAAAAAATTTGCTTAAAATTAATAACAATTATAATTAAAAATATAAGATAAAGAACATTATTTGAAAGAAGGAACGATTAGGCCTTTTTTTTTTCCACTTATGTGCACTATGTAAAAATGGAAATGAAAATAGGTTGCCACATATTAAGTTTGCCAAGTGAACTAATTTTGGTGCAACTGAATAAATAGTGCCAACATAAATCGTTGAATTTCTCCGTAAGTTTTGCACCAAATTTTACAAATTTTAATATTTAGGCATAATTTGAGTCGTAGAATCGAAATACAGTAAAAAAAAGGTGCATGTTATTTCATAAAAAAGTTCTGATTTTCGTGTCAAAATACTTTATGTCAGAACAATGTGATATATATAAATCTAATATATATCCTAAGTCGCACTTTCGAGACATGAAGAATGCAATTTGAATTTCGTGAATCAGCCCAGTAGAACGGGAGATATAGAACTGTCTCATTTTTTTTTTAGCAGTGTACATCTTCAATACAAGCATTATCTCGCTGCATGACGGTCATCAACCTCAAAGGCACTTTTGCACAACAAAATCTTTAGGAGAAGCTCTGAGAGGTTATTCGAATATCTGTCATATAGTCTTGATCTCATTCCTGTCTTTTGTTCAAGAAAGATTGTGCTAAGTAGTATTCCTTGGTGACAGTTTCATGATCAACAGGATAATACATAAATATTCAATTCCCTAAAAGACAAATCACCTGTACAGCCCCAACCTCTTAAGAATTTATTCATTACTTCCTCTTTCCTTGAAAGCAACAATTTCTAAATTTATACCATAGCATCAACCTTAACTTTTTCGCATCGAGAGAGGGCAAAATCTCAATTCCCCAAACATCGAAAACACCCGTATCTAATAATTTCTCCTGGAATGCTTTTCCTTCCCCCATGACAAGTTGAATACTACAGCACTAACAATAGCTTTACTTAAGTAAAGTGAGAACTTCTTTCTTCCGACACTTTGACACTGTGTGAAGTTCCCCCTTGGGATTGGATTGCAACTTCGGGCATCAAAAGCTAAACACTGACAGTAAACAAAGGAAGCTACAAAAGAATGACTGACATGCTTCAAAAGAATGATTGACATGTGATTTAACAACACCTGAAAGCAATGAGTAATGTAGTAACGTGATGGGGGAAAGCACTGGGTAGGAAATTATTCAGGCATTTCAGGCGTCCAGCCGATGTCTGAATGCTCGGGCATTTGGGGGCAACTTCGATGCGAAAGAGTTAAGCAAACTTTTGACTTACACACTTGATAGCTCAATTAAAAAATCTGAACAAACTTGGAAAACCCATTTATGTTCTTTGTTCTGATCTTAGTTCATATTCAACCTTCAAGAAATTTCTGTCAGGTCAATATTTTCAAACAGATGAAGAGGTTCAGATGGCTGTCACACATTGCTTTCAATACCAGGCAGCAGCGTTCGATGACAAGGGTATCCAAAAGTTGATCCCATGATATGACAGACGTCTTAATTCTGGTGAGAAGTACAATGAAAATAACTGAAAAACTAATGTATCTGTTGTAAGAAGTCTTTCCATGAGATTATATTTATTTTCCATAGACAGCCCCAGGGAAACTTATTCCTGAAAGCCCCCTCTAACATAAAATAAAATTCTAATTTTAATTACCCCTCCTCTTTAACTTTGATTTTATCTTAAAATAATTGAGTGCTTATAGTGAATTTTTCTGAAGTGTGCCATTTCAAACTTATCCATCATATAATTTTTATATAAGGCAGGAGATGCACACACTTACTCAGCATCAAAAGTGAGAGTCAAATATTTTATTCAATCATAATTAAATTGAAACTTACTAAACCACTAACAATGAAGTAATACTATATCTTTTTCCAGAAATTTACTACACCATTCTTAAAAATATCAATACTACGATCTTTGTTTTTCTCAAGTTTAGCTCTGCACTACTCACATGTAAGAACCAGGTATAAAATTATGACAAAGAGAAATGTGTCAAATGCGCACGATCACCTACTGAACGATGAACTCACCTCATCCATTATCAACTTTTTTTTCATCTATGTCTACATTTCAAAATTTATTTTATATACAGTCAACTCCCTGAAAATGAACCCATTGACCTGTCCACTTTCCTATGCACTTAATGTCATTTAATATGGCTAAAGCAAACCTTCAAATGTATGAAAAATAGAATATAATATACTTAATGAAATTTAAAACAATTTTGTACTTCTATCATTTTCCCGGAATTTTTGCAAGTTTTAAGTGAAAAATTATCAACTTTTAAACCATTAGTGAATACATTTAACCAGCTTTTATCATTTGTATATGACTCACTAAAACAGGAAATTTTACAGTCATGTTTAAAAGTTCAACTAGCACTGTAGATAATTATTTTTTTCAATATTTCAGTGAGAATAATCTTAATTAAAATATTTACATTCTATTCACAAGTTTTAGCATTCACTGAATAAGCCACTTTATGAAAAGTAAATTCCATTCTCTCATTTAAAAAATAGCGGAGGTGTGGAAGAGTAGGAGTTTTATATTTTTTAAATATCATTTGTAAATTAAATTATTATCTAAAACTATATTAGTTTTATTTACACTTATATTAACATATCAGTATTTACGTATTAATTTACGATACCATTACAAAAGCAATAAAAGTTCAAGAAAATATGAAACACAACAGCTTTTGCCTTTCATTATTCAAATGAAAATATATAGTCAGTTTTTAAATTGAAAAAATATGTTAAAATGATACAAAATATGAATACTGTTACTTACTTAACAAAATAATTAGTTCAATAATACCACTTAAGATTCTCAAATGAAATCCCTCCCCTTTTCTACACAGACTGAAATAATACGTTTTAAAAATGTTCTCTAAAGCCATAATTGAAAACATGGCTACAAATATCGGTAAGGAACTGTAGTTTGAAGAGTATTTTAATTCTATAATCTTCAAAAACCAAAGTAGCAAACAATGACATACCTGCCCTTAGCCATCGAAACCGAGGTTCACTGAATTTATCCCACATAGACACTATAATAGATGCTGCACCAAGAACACTAACAAGCACAAAGTAAAAAACCTTGGGTTGATAGTCACAGTAGAAACCGTAGTAAAGCCAAGGAACAAATGATCCAATAATTAAGACAGCAATACCACAATAGTCAAGCCTATAAAAATTAAATGTTTTGGTAAATTTAAGAGAATAAAAGATTTAAAAGGAAGTATCCTAACCTTCCAGGTCAAGTTATTTTATATTAACAAATAATGTTTACTGCTGTTAGAGAAAGAAAACTGCATGAGACAAAAACAACTAGAAGAAAAATATTCCAAGTAAATAAACAGATGTTTAAGAAACGTATAAAAATTATTTCAGCATTTCTCAGTGTAAAAAGAATTCAAAACAATTTTATAAATTAATCAAAATATTAGAATTATTCAAACATCTAATTCAATAAATATTCTGAAATTAGTTTATTAATGCAAAAATTAAAGACGTTCCACAAAAGAGAATTTTTTAGCATAATATCGTAAATGCTATCTACCATGACTAAGACTTATATTAACAGTATATGAAAATGAAGAGGAAGAAAAACAGGGAACTTTGTGCTGAAATAGGTACACTATACATAAAGCACTTTATATCAAAACTTTTAAATAAATTATGACATACTTGCTGAAAAGTTTTCCAACTTGTTCAGAATGGCAACTAACAGTATGGAACAAGGAAGACATTCCAAGACATATTATGGCACTTGCAAAAAAGGTGGCAAACACAGCTTTTTCTTCCCACGGAATCATATCTGATGGACGAGAGAGAAAGTAGACTGCTATGCCAACAAATAAAAGGCATCCTAAAGTAAAATCAAGATTAATAAGCTGAAATCAAAATTAAAATTGTAATTAATTTTTAAATCTTTGCACTAAGAAAATAAGGGTTTTTAAATTACATTTCAAATTAATGTACAAGATATACAGTTAAAAAGCAAAGAGGACCATAAAAACATCGAAATTATTTAGTAAAAAGTTGAATTATTTGCATGTAATTCATTTCCACTTAGGGTAACAACTCAGTTTGATTCTCATGGGAAACATGATGCAGCTAACTACAGCCAAGATTGGCTGCTTCCTCAGAAGTAGATAGGGTTGAATATTGAAAAGTAAGTAGCAGCACAGCCAGTCTGGGATCCTAGTCATAACATTCTTTCAACACACTAAAATACTTTCTTTTCTCATTTGATACGAGGAAAACAAGATTATGAGAGATTAAAAGACGATTTAAAGGCCTTCTGAAGTTAAGGGCTCTAAGGTCGAATATCCATCAAAAAATAACTATGAAAGCTATTGCCTGTTACTTCAGCAATTTATAAGTTGCACAGAAAATTTAAATGCATTGATTTTTTTTTTTTTTATGTAACTCAATTCAGTTGACCCTGCACTGTGACTGCCCCAGATGCTACTACTGCAGTAAAGCAAGTGTTACTAGAAAAATGACAGCTCAGCACATATCACTTATAAGCTTGAGTTGATATGCTGCAATAAGTAAACTAATTTCTGAACAGAAAGAATGATATAAATGTTTCCAAAATACTGTTAGAACATTACGAAGCAAGAAAAGTTGGCTTCCTTACACCATAGAATGATTTACAATTAATATTCTGTTCACTACTTTTAGCTGGATATTAAGTATGCAATAAAAGATACAACTTAGCAGGTTGGAGAACCAGTTGGCATTGTAAAGTCACAATCCTGAGTACTAAAGGACTACCAATGGCAAATAAGCCAGGATATGCTGAAGAATAACATGAAATTTGCAATCAGGTTGAAACACTGCAATCTGCTTAATTCTGTTCATTATTCTATGAATACTAACCATAGAAAATAATACATAGGATAAGTGGCTACATTAACAGCAATTTTTTTGTTTGCTTTTTGATATGAAAATGTAGTGGCACTACAGCAAAAAGTGTTTTCAGTCTTAATTGTTTACATTTTATTAATAAAAAATATTAAGGTTACTTTTTCACCTTCTTTTTAACATGCAATAAAATGTGATTTTCAGAACTAATACTTTTAAGCTATAATTTAAATATCAGGTCTTCAGAAAACCTCTCGATCTCTAATTTTTCATATTTAGAACATCATTATTGCATAAACTTGACATAAGTATTTTAAAGAATCATTTGAATAAAGCAATAGCTTGAAATCCATGAATGTTCTAATAGTTACACACAATGCAATGTCAGGGGAATGCAATCTTAGGAAAAGTTTTCTTTCCCATACACACTGCATATTCAGTGTTCAATGGAAAAACACATTTCCCCCTCTGCTCGAATATCTCCGACTAAATACCTTACAGCCATACATACACTCATCACACACAAATGAGTCCCTCTTTACACTAACTCAGAGAATTTATAATTTACTTTGTATAACTTCAGTGACAGTCCTGAAAAGATTCAAATATTCACTAAACAGTACACTAAAAATAGAAAGTACTATGACGTGACACACTATGGAATTATAATTTTCAAAAAGCATATGTGAAATTCAGACTTAAATGATTTAATATGCAATGCTTCATAACTTAATGATAATACATTAATACATACATATTATTAATCATCTCACATTATTGAATGCTTGCAGTATCTCAAGGATATTTCGAACAAGAAATGCAATACAGCAGGAAAATTTTGTAAGCATTTTCTATAACATATTTATATTATTTTAACTCACTGCAAAATACAAAAATTTTATATTGCAATTACTTCACAAAAGGAAACTACAGGATGTATGAGCAATGGTGAAAGCAAAAACTCGCATTATCATATATGCTTTCAATATTTAGCACTTCATAAAAATTATTAAAGGAAATCTTTCTAGATGCAAAGAAGAGAAGAAAATTTGTTTTAAAGTTTCACTCATTTCTACCGTTCTACAGGGATTCAGATTATGACAAAGTACTGAAGGGCAATCTGCTTAAGAAGGAGCGCAGATAAGCTAAATAAATCTTCCACAGTCAACAATGCCTTGAGAAGACGAGAGGGACCCTAGGACAAGCGAACTAACACACATGGTTTATAGGAGGGTAACACTTCTCCATCATAAAATAACAAACAAACAAAAAAAGTAATAGTCACTTTTACTGGGCTTTACAAGTTAAATGTTAAAGTAGACCTCGGCGAATCTGTTATGACCAGCATTTTTAAACTTAAAGGCAAAAATACTGAAGTATAATACAAAAATTGTATCTGATACCACATCAAATATTCTGCAGGTTTCATGCATGAACATCTTAAAGAACAGACATACTATTATTTTCATTTATGCTGTAGCAATCTCATATCACATGAAATCTTAAATTCTGCTAACAGCAAATATTATTTGAAAGTTAGGTAATGAAATATATTTTGTGTCTTGTAATGTGACAAGCTGTGCACTGTTAAAAGAAGAAAAAACATTAATCTGTCAATTTTAACATTTCCCTTAATAAAAACTGTATGAATCAAGAAGCATTCTGCAATACTTACCAAGTAAATGTGTCCAAATATTACCCGTTTCAGTGTGAATTCTAAAAATGGAACGAAAGCATGCACTGAATGACCTTAATGGTGGGCGATGGCCTTTGTGCAGAAAATCATTATCCTGTAACCACTCTGGCAATGAGCTAAAGTGGCAAACCTGAAATAAAGATGAACTTGCAACAAATTCATTCAAAACATTCAAAGAAAAATTCTTGCCAATATTATCATTTAAAGTAATTTACACTACATAAAAAAATAAAATGCATTGCGTCATGCACTTTAGTGTCTGCAATATAAAACACTAAATATTTTGGATATTATACTGCCGCAGAAAAATTTCAAGATGAAAAAGTTATTACATCTTTTATTAACTGCATAACATACGATTTATAAATGAAAACAAAAATTCTGTATTGCATACTAACAATTGTATGGGAAAATTTTATCTTAATAATTTAAGAGAAGTGTGCTATTTTGAATTAATCACTGAAGTCTCATGTCATGTAACAAATTTCAACTTTTTGTTACATATTTATTTGCATGACCTCATGTTTAATGGCACGTAAAATTTCTTCAATGGAAGTTTTAGAATCATCAAAATTTAGTTGCTTTTTAATTACCAACTACAGGATGAAAGGTCTGGTACAACTATAAATGCATTATCTAGCCACAGTAAAAGGAACATACCCTACAAAATGAGACAAGAGCCCACCTGGAGGCAAAATACTCACAACCTAGTAATCTTATCTCAAAAACAGGAAAACGCTGTTCAGCATCACTGATTTAATATGAAAGGGCACTCACTTAACAGATGGATACAATAAATAACTACCTGCATAGCCTAGAATTGGCCCCCCAAAAATGCATGACTTCTCCAACATTTGAGGAATAAATGGGCAGGCATGACAACAAAAACATAAGATAATGAGTAAACAATATCCATTATGTCAATACAGTATAATGACATAAACCATTAACACAACACATGCAGATGGGCTAACACAGCTTATAAGCATGTTTAAAGAGGCTACAAATGGCAACACGTGGAAAAATACACATCTGTGTACAAGAAAGTATCTCTGCATGTACATTCATCAAAATGGTAATATACAAATGTATGTGTCAGTGATATGAAGAATATGGATCCAGGAGACTAGCATATGTATTGTATATGCTTAAACTTTTATTTAGCCACACAAGGAGAAATCTACAGGAGTGAGACCAGGTTATTTGAATACGGCAAAGCACACAAGGGATCTCTGCCTAAAGGGAAAACATACTTTTGTGAATGACTTACTAAGGAAAACTACCTTTTATTTGTGTTACCCATGAGAAAAACCCTGAAATACAATCATGCAGCCAGCCTGTTCGCCTGGGTCCTGACCCAGGTTAGGCTATTAATATTTAGCAGTTTCAACCACTTGGCCAATGGTGGGGCCAATGAGACCACATGATTCTGGATTTAATAATGGCATCAAATTCAATGGTCTGTGGTTGTATATACATATGTTAAAGAATAAAAAAACTGCCATTTCATTTATGAAGAAAATTCTCTTTTCACGTATACAAAATACTGCACATTGGTTTTGCATGCTTCAGGTCATACATACAGGAGATAATTTATGATATTCATGTATGTAATATGTCTTTTCATACTAAATAAGTGACAATCTGCACCTAAAATTTTTTGCTGCATCTTATAATTTTTAAGGTACGACCTGAAATTTCTGAATTTTATCAGCAACAGGCAGCGTAACTGGTGCAATTTTACACAACATGGTCCTTTTGCTACAGCTATACATCACAATCATAGCTGTAGCTGGCAATGATCATCAATTATTCAGAGATGAATGAAGTTTCCCAATCACCCAAACATGACTTAAAACCACTTGAATCCTTATCTTGGACATAAATACACTTGAAATTTCTAGCATTCAAATGCAAATTTTGATGATGCAAGCATATGAGAACAAAAGGCTAGGCATATTTCACTAACCAAACTTAATAAAGACAAAAGCAATTTCCTTTAAATGGGCTGAGCATATATACCATTTATCTTAAAGAATTAAAAAAGCATTTCTTAGAACAAGTTACCATGCCCAGCCATCAAAATTTATTCTCAGTATCTCATAATACCACTTAAGGAAATGGACACAAGAACACTAAACTCGTTTTAACAAGTTTCGAGCAGGTTTTCATTTCAAACTTGATTAACTATCGCAATTTTTTCCTACAGCATGTATAAATCATGTCTACGAACACCAAGAATTACATTTACTGCAGAGCTATTTTGCATACAGATGTATTCTCTGGATCACTGTTACCTTGTCTGGTGGGTTTTTACTGCTGCAATGTGTGGCCTTCCAGATCAAATTTCTGCCTCCTTTGATCTGCACAATAACTACAATATTCATCATTAGTTTTCCTTCTGATTTCAGTGATTTCTTAACAATATTTCTATTACTTATTGAAGATAACACTTTCTCCCTTTTCTACTTAATAGTCATTTTACTAAATTTGCATATTTCAATAGTTTATCAAGAAAGAGATTGTTTCAACGGCTGTCTATTTTGAATATCCTGCTAAAGATTAATATTTTACTCATCTTTTCTCTTTAATTTTTATTTTCAAACAGCATCTTATTTTTACACATATATTCCAAGCTACGAATTCTAGTTTCAGTGGTAACTATGAGCGTTTTAATTTTTCCAGTGAAGTGCATCACTCAAAATTTGTATGCCTGTTTTGTAATACCAAACAGGCAAACACACTTTCAAGATAAAAAATTCTTTGTAAGACTATTTCTTTCCAAGCTGATGTACCAGAAAGAACAGGAATAACAACAGAAGCACCTGGCAAACAGAAAGTACGAGAATGGGTACAAAATTCAACAATAAGTAAAATATGTGATTTAGGAAGCACAATTTTAAAGTTTGCTTTTAGCACTAAAACCTGTCAGTATGATACAACCAGTCTTTTTTTTTTTTTTTTTTTTTTTATTTTCAATAAATCCAAGATTTATTTTTTAAGGAACATACAGAACATTTTGTAAATCGGCTAGTTCTTAACGGCAAAGCACTCAAATATTATTTGCCATTAAAAGAGAAGCTTTTGTTGTGGACTTGGGGGGGGGGAAGAACAAGGTTTGCATTCTCTTTTTTAATATATGAAGAAAACCATGAAAAAGTTTTTGCGACCAGCCCATTTAAAAGGAAATAAAAAATGGAACCAATAATGAATACTTAGCAGTTTCAGTCAGTTACTCCCTTGAAGAAGAGAAATTGCAGTTTGAAAAATCGACATAATTTACTACTTGAATTTCAACCATCACATAGTATACCATTATTAATATAACTAGAAAACATGATAATTTTTTCACTTTTGTTCAGAGATAAACATTTAAACCATTCTCCATTGCTGACATTGCACGAGGTTTGTGAGAAAAGTAACAAGACTGGCAACACTGCGGGTGATATGGTAATGCCGTATCTAACAAGGCTGTGTTAGACTGGTTTGTTTATCTCCTCCACTTCCTCAGTCCAAGTTACAACTCCGTACAACTAACATAGCAGTTTTGACAATGCCATAAGTGAAGTTATATTTTTGTTGTGTTACAGAAATGAAGCATCGGAATTTACAGAAAAATTGTGCAATAAAGTTTTGCGTGAAACTTGCTGAATCCATGAGTGTGACTTTTGAAAAGTTGAAACAAGCACATGGAGAAGCATTGTTTATCAAGAGCATAAGTTTTCCGCCAGAACAAATAATTTTTGGAAGGCTGAGAAAACATTGAAGATGAACCTCATTCAGGAAAGACCTGCAACTTCAAAAAGTGACGAAAGCATTGAAAGTGTGAAGGCTCTTGCGAGGTCAGACCATTGTTTAACAATAAGAATGAAGAGTTAAATTTAAACACTTTTGTCGTACATCAATTTTTGACAGACGATTTGAACATGCAAAAGATTTGTGACAAAGTGATGCCGAAAAACCTCACAACTGAGAAGGACAATCGAAAAAAACGTGCATTGATCTTTTTGAGAGGATTGCCGATGACCAAGACTTCCTCAATTGTGTAATCACAGGTGATGAATCCTGGATATTTGAGTACAATCCTAAAACAAAGTGGCAAAGCAAAGAGTGGCACACTCCATCATCTTCGTGGCCGAAGAAAAGTCGAAAGAGCTAATTAAAGATCAAGACCATGCTGATTTTTTTTTTTTTTTTTTTTTTTTGACAAAAAAGGGTATCATGCACACAGAATATGTTCCACCAGGACAAACTGTGAACCAAGTATTTTATAAAAGTGTCCTTGAAAGGCTCAGGAAAAAAGTGATTCGTGTGATACCAGACATTGCTCACAAGTGGATGCTTCATCATAACAATGTCCTTTCCATCAGTGAATTTTTGACGTCAAAACGCATTATCGTTATTCCTCAACCCCCCTATTCACCCGATTTGAGTCCTTGCAACATTTTCCTTTTTACAAAATTGAAACATGTCCTAAAAGGGCATCATTTTAGAACTCTGGAGAAATTTAAAAGACTGTGACTGTTAAAATCCATACCAGATGAAGAAAGACTTCCAGCGCTGCTACCAAGAGTGGAAACAATAACTCTGCCGGTGTATAGCTGCCCAAGGGAACTACTTTGAAGGAGATAATGTTGTTTGAAAAAACTAAAAACTTTAGTAAGTACACACTCAATCTCATTACTTTTCTAACACACTACGTAATAACCTAGTTAAATTGGAAGTCCTTGAGGGCTAGAATATTGAAGAACTGTGCAGCAACTTATTGCAGAGTTCTAGTAAGTAAACAGTCCAAGAAAGGGTTAAATTTGCCCTTTATTACAATTCAAAATAGATGAACAGATGGCACATTCTCAGTTTACAATAAGCCTCTACTTGGGCTAACTCAAGATAGAAAATATAAAACTAATCTAATTAAAAACCACCTAAAGCTGCACAGAATCAACTAACAGAGTTAGGCCTTATTTAAGATCACCAGTAAATACTAGCAGGCACATAATATGGCTGAATAGTAGTAAGATTATACTTTTAGCAACAAATGTAGCGGGAAGGCAAAAAACGCTCTCCTAACTCTTCTAGTAAAGTGATACAGACTTCAGCTTAAATACTTGCTTTTCATTTAAATGTTTACATAAAACATAATTCTAAAAACTTATTCTGGAAGGGAAAATAGGTGTGAAACGAAAAAGTAAAGGAAAGGCTTGTTCCAAAATAAAAATAACTATTAGAAAATTAAAATAAACCCCTACAACATCTTTGTATTAAAAAAAAAAAAAAAAAAAAAAACTTTTCCCAAGTTTTTGTATACTGCGAACATTTACAATTACTTACAGTTTCTGTATCACTTTCTTTATCAATATGTACTTACAAAAAAGCAACAGATTTTATAAAACTTGACATGTATTTGGAAGGTTAACCATTTTTTAATCTAGGTTAGTTCTTCCAACACCTATAATTAGAATTAATGGTACTCTTCTGTTATCAGGACTAGATTCAGAAATTTATGTATGCATTCATGTATGCATATGTACATGTGTGTACACATACACATGCATATACATGTACATCTCTGAATCCAGTCCCAATAACTGTAGAGTACTGAATTAAAACTCGCAAAATATTACATGATGTGTACTTATACAGCAAGTGAGACTTACAGAGCAGCAAAATTTTTGTTTGCATGAAATCATATCAAGCATGACAAAAGCCCTGTACAAACCATGTTTTAATCACATTATAAGAGAGATAATTTAGATATCTATTTATTTAAGCACATAAAATTTCAACATAGGCAAGTTAATTCCTAATGAACTTAATATTTCATGATGTTTGACAAAAAATAATTTTAAAGATTTCATGTATACTTAGAAAGTAAATATAAAATTAAGACACGGAATAGTTTTTTATGCACTGAAAGTATTCAGCTATCTTCAGTTTTCAGATATGAAAACCCTTAATTTTCAACAAAAACTTGTGAATTTTCAAAATAAATCTTTAAAATTTGTCAACTCTTATTGTTAAATTGGCTCGTAGAAACCCTCCGAGCGGTCATGAGATTTTTTGTCACTTGATACCTATTAGCTTATAACTTAAAATATTTTGCTTTCTTACTTTCTTTAACAATGCAAATGTAATCTTAATGAATGTAAGTTTATGAAAATAGAGGCTAAAATAAGTAATTATATAAATTTAGCCAATAAATGCTGCACAAATACAGGTCTTCATGACAAATCCCAAAACCCATGCCACTCAGAGAGTTAAAGCACACCATTCCAGTAATTTGACAGAACTGATAGATGCAATACAGAATAACAAAACAGCTTTAAAGTTAATACTTAGAAATATCAGTGAAATACCATATGAAATAAGAAATAAATACACAAGACAATGTCTGAAATGCTTCAAAACCTTCAAAATAAAACTTCAGTCCTGCAAATAATGATTGGTTTGGCCAATTTGATTATGGCAAAGCATTCAAGAGCTATCTGCCTGAAGAAAGGCCTTTTTTTTAAGACTAAAAATATTTTACTTAGTTTGCTATCAAGTCTTCCTTTTTTTCATAATAGGCCTGTGATAAACAAATTTAACATTAATTCATGACTCATATACTATTTGAAGTCTGTATAACAAAACACTGGTGTAGACAGTACATTCTGCACATGTTCCAGTGTTTAATGGTCTCATATCTTGGCAGTTACTATGCAGTATGGTTATTAAAGCATTTTTAAATTTACACTAGTAATAATTAGACTCCAGTTGTTGTTAAAGTAAATATAATAAACTGGCATGTGAGTGACATAACACAATAATCCAAGCTCTTCAAACTCAACACTGCATTGAAACTGTCACATTTCAACACATATATATTAAAAAAGCAGAAAGATTCTACATGAAATCTAAAAACAAGAAAATGTAATAAAACTTAAAATCATGATAGTTACCCAATTCTAACTATACTGCTTAATGTCTGTCCATATTTAGAAACAATTTATGATTAGTTTCTAAAGCTAAAAATTTTTTTGTTGGTATACTAAACAGAACTATTTAAATGCAGGGATATCTTAATATTAAATGAAGATAAATAATTATTGTAAGTATACAAACCTTCCATGCACCTCCCCAAATTTTTCTAACCAGCTGCTCAGCATTTTCAACATCTTCTAATACTTTCCGTACTAAATGTTCAGCTTGCTTAGCAGCTCTAGCAGTTTGCTCAGCAGCTCTATTATGCAAAGACATGTATAAGCTACCGAAGTCATCCGACTCGCTTGGCACCTAAAATAAAATTGAAATAAATATATGTAACAAATATACCAAATACTACAAAACACAAGAATTACAAATAGAAAAGTTTAAAAGTACAGGATTTTTTTTATAATACTCTAAGTCAGTGTCTTAAATATTTGGATCCTTAGTCTGTATAGTAATAAATACAATAAAAAGATTATGAATTATAAATATATTAGACAGCAGTCTAAGAAATATCATCTACAATCCTGAGGGGGGGAAAAATCAAAATATTTATGAATTGATATGGCCAGCCATTAGGTGGCGCTTCAGGCACTCGGTCCTCAAAACAGTTTTGATTTCCAAGCAGAAAAATGCAGTCATGAAGGAGTGAAGCCTAAGAATCTAAAAGTATCAGCCTAATAACTCAAAGGCTTGAAAGTTATATATTAATAATATAAGTAAATCATGTAGTGTGTGTCAAAATTGCTCATTATTTATGTGGACATCACTTACCTCCGAAATTAAAAAAATAACTCCTTTTACACAAAACTTTAACATCTGAATTTTCCTGTCATGCAATTTTCTTTGTGAGAAATAACTAAAATTTATATGTGAATTCTGCAAAATACTTTTCTCATGTTTACAAAATTTTACAACAGTCAAAATGAGGAGATTCACACTGGTGCCACTGTTGAGTCTTAAATATTATTTTATCACAAGTACAGAAAAAATACTTAATAGGATAACCAATATTGCCAATTTTTAAAACATGAAATACACCTAAATTCAACGAAATGCTCACACAAAAAAATGTGTAACACAGCAGACAGATGCACAGACTACAGGAAATAATTTTCACCCTTTCACTTTACAGCATGCAATATCAGATTACAGTTTAGTGAAAAGTTGAAGAAAGGCCTTCACAAACATAAATAAGATCACTTCTTATACTTCAGTATATTTATTTATATGCACTGCTCAAATTGACACAGCCACTATTTTCAATAAAGCATTTACATATTTGCCAAGGCATAACAAGTGACACAGTTCAAAACTGAGGGTGATAACACAGGTTTCAGGGCATATTTGAAATTAGAATACATGAATATTTGGAATATTGGCCTTGCTTATTCTGGGACAAAACCTTCATTGACCAACACAGCCTACAGGATTAAATTTGCACATCTCACTGAAACAAAATAAAGTATCTGAAAGAATTTTATCACATTATGAGGAGAATTTAAATGAGGGAAGTCTTGCCAAAATACTAACCAATGAGCTTTCATCAGGAAGAACAGCTGATGGAAACAATCTTTTCCTTAAATTAGTCTCTTCTTCTACATCCATACATTCTGAGCTATCTGAAAGTGAAAGCTCCTCAAATATTTCTGGTGGAAGGGGTTCAGGAAATTCAACAGGATCATTCAAAAGTGCAGTAAAATTAGGAACAGCAGTTGAGGTTACAGCACTTGCAGAGGCAACATTTGAAGTAGCAGCATTAGAAGTGACAGCACGCGTAGGGGCAGCACTTAAAGTGGTAGCATTAGATGACAAATCCATTCTGAAAAATGCTGAAATGTAAGAAAAATCACTATTTCAAAATGCTATATTAAAGTATAGTTCATACTGACAAACAAAATATCAGTTAATGATGCCTCCAATGATGAGTGGCTTTACATATAATTTGTAAAGTACACATCTTTGTTTTCATATTGCTTAACAAAAGGTGTACTTTAATATTCAGAATAACATCATATAAAAAAGCAGTTTCACGAATGTTCGTGAACTGCTTTATGGGAAACATTTAATTTCAGAGGATGTACAGAAGACCATGCATATATTTTAGATCAGCTACAGAGCTTACTACATGAGAATCAATTTTATTGTTCGTCAACTGCTAAGGAATGTCAAGCTACAGGAAAACATCTTTCATGAACAATGACAGATCATTAAATGATTTCTTAAATTCTAGCAAAATACTGTTAAATTTTACAATAAAATATTATATGCATATTTCAAATAAATGTATGTAATATTTTTTAATTCTCAATGAAACTAACATGTAATAATTCCATGATTAAATAATAAAAAATTCATAATGCTATTTTCATATGTATATGCATAGGTATTATGCATGTGCTTATTTGCTTAGTATAACAATGTACACGTACGTAATTTACTAGCCTTTACTTTTGCAACCATTAGTTGTAGACATATGTTTTGAGTTATAAAAACATTTTATAATTGGAAATATTGTAATTCAGCAAATATTCATGTTTTGTACTTTTAAATTGGGGGAGAAAATTACTGTCACAAATTTACAGAATCTTTTTCCAAGGTTTTCCGACACCTATATGTAATATTTCCAAAAATCGTATGAAATACAGAAAGTGCAGCTCTCATCTGACAAAAATTGACAGAGATATTTAAAGTTGCACTGCACATGCATAGGAATCATATTTTCAGACAGAGTATGATGAAAACTATATGCAGATCATTCAGAAGGAAGCTACCATAAAATGTTTTTCTGAATGATAAGACTGATATTTTGAAAGCTTTGATTTAGCTATTAACAATACTGCATAATAAACAACTGAAGAAATAATTTTTAACTTAGCAAAAAACATCCTAGTTTTAACTTTAAAAAACACTGCTCAAAATATATACAAAATAAAATTCAACTGGCAACAAAATACAAAATTTATGATGATGAATTTGGAAATTTCCTTGAAAACAAATTATTTGGAAAACATGCATCTATTAACCGACAATTCATGAAACTAATGAACAGTTTTATAAATACACAAGTTCTCATATATATTAACTATAAGAGGTGTTTAAATGGAAAGGTACAAACATCATAACAACCAATCCAGTTGAAATTTCAATATGCCGCTTTGGAATAACATAGTGAGACATCCAGGGATGTGAATTGTGGTGTCCAGCGTGGTTGTGTGCATACGCGGGTGCCTGCACATGACGCAGGAGAGAAGTAAGCAGTTGCGTGTTTTGCCCAATTGATGAAGCAGTGCGTGTGATGACACCGTGGCGTTCACATAGCAAAACTCAATGACTAAGGAGCAGCGAGGTATTGTCAGATTTCTGACTGTGGAAAGGGTTAAACCGGCTGATATGTATTGTCACATGGCGGCCATATATGGGGAAGACAGCAAGTCCGACAAATCTGTGAAAAAGATAAGTGCAAATTTTTGTGAAGGACTGAAGTGTTTGAGTGATGACCTATGATCAGGCAAGGCAAACACGGTAATCATGGCTGAACTCATCATCAACAAGGTGAATGATCTGATGAGAAGCGACATCTGACAGGGAAGTGCTTAAATTCGAACGACGAACTGAAGAACTCGGGGCTTAATTTCTAAGATTAGAAGTGCCGGTGCCCTATGGAAGACCGCCAGCAAAGAGGAACAAGAGTAAATAAATAAATAAAATGACTATTAAACTATTTAATAATTAATAATTTTAAAATTAAAGAGTTAATTATCACATTAATTGATAGCTATTTAATTAATGTTATAAATTGTTATTTAATCAATAATTTAATAATTATAATTCAATTGGTAATTATTAAATAATTATTTATTGAAATAATTAAAGATTAAAATTAAATCATTAAAAATTAAATAAATGTAAAGAGATTGAAATTTAATACGTGATTTTTAATATAATTTTATAGTTAAAATAAAATTTTCAAGAAAAAATTTCTAGAAATTGTTATTCAGTTACATAAAAGAAGTGCCGCAGCCTTCTTATTCAGGGCTCCGGTGCGTTCCGGCTAGAATTATGATTTATTACAGAAACTAAGAAGCACTGGAGCCGGGAGGCTCTGGCCCATTTTAAGCTCTGATCGTAAGGGGGGGGGAAGTTCTTTTATCATCACAAAAAAATAAATATACTTAAAGTATAGCTGATGAAAATTCCAGGGCGAAACAGAATGAGGGTATAAGTGGGTGGAAACAAAAAATGAGGGGAATCTTGGTGAGAGAGAACGTTTTCTTTGACCGCGGATCTCTGCTGATATAATTATAGCCATGAAGCAGATGTGTATAAGGGGTAAAATGAGTCCTGAATCTGACTCCTAAGGATGAATGTAAATTTGCTGGCTACGCTTCCCCCCATTAGTGGATACTGTGGGAAGACAATCTATAGGACGTGCTTCAGCAGTTTATCTCAGTATTTCACTCTTACTGTACTTGCTGTCACTTAAGGCACATTTTAGAACACAAATTTTCCTTCCTGTGAAGATAACTAACTGTAAGCATCGATAACAACACATTAGATACGATGGCATGGCGAGAAATTTACGCGTTCCTGGACAAACTCCCCCAAATTTATTGTTTTTCTTAAAAGGAAAGGTTTTCGCATGTGAGCAAGGAGACTACTTGAACGTCTCATGATCTCACGAGTTCGTATTTCTAGGGAAATAGAGTATTGCAAGGTCTGCTTGTTGTTAAACTAAAATGTTAGGAATTCTAAATTTTTTCCCTTTAAATTGTGGTTCAGTTTTATAAAGAGAAATACCGAAGCTCATCTTATTTAGGGCTCCGGTGCGCTCCGGCTACAATTGTAATTTACCTTAAAAATTGAGAAGCACCGGAGCTCGGCTCTGGTGGGCTCCGGTGCAATTTAAGCACTGGAAAGACTGCTTCCTGCGATAGCTACAATAGGGAATCCTTTGTTTCACGACATAGTAGGATAGTTACACTCAGGCGTCTGGTGATTACTTGTGAATAAAGACTTCAATACATCCACAGTGTCGTTTCATACCTTTTTCATTTGAATATCCTTCATACAAGCAGAGGAGGAAGAATTTAATTCCTTGAACTGGCACAATTCTATTAAATCGCTGTTTAGCTCACAATGCTTTACATTTTTCCGTACAATTTTTATTAAATTTGAAATGGCGAAGTATAGAACTCTTTTGCTGAAATTTGAGACTCGCATCTGATCGAAAAACTAAGACACCACCAGACAAATTCTACAACTTCAGATTTCTCCTGCACTATTTAAGATTACTTCTCAAAGTAAGCAGTGGAAATTTTTAGATAATTCCTATTGGTTTAGCACAATGGTTTTTCTAAAATATTTTTTAGGTCCATGAACTGATTACTAAAATTTAATCAGGCAATTTATTACCATTTAGCAACTAATTTTATAGCTTATTTTGGCAGTAAACAAGTTCTTAAAAATGTTTAATCCAACCATACAAATTAAACAATAATAATTTTAAATAATTTTTAGAATTCACATCAAAATAGTTCATGAAGAAAATTACAGTAAAAGACATACGAAAGTAAAATGACATAACAATTATAAACTAATAAAATTTCGAATTACCTTCAGAAACGTTAAATGTAAAAAATCACAGCTATGCTTTCAAAAGGTCAGAAACCCTAAAATATAAAAGTTACAAATAAATTCAATGAAATAAACCATCTGTTAAAACAATACACACTTTACTGATTACAGTCATAAATGGACAAACTTTCTAATCAGACCACAACATTTTAAGATATGCTGATGAAATCAATTTTAGAAGAAATAATTTTACCAGTACATTTGTAAAATATCACAATTTATATAATATAAATGTGATATTTTGAGATCAGGTTAGCAGATACTTTTTGGTTATACTTTAGCACAGATTTTTATAACATTAGTAACAATACACTAAACAGAAAATGACCTAATTGATATAAATAACTTAAACTATGATACTTTTGAGCTATGGTGGGCATTACAAAATCAAATTGCCAAATACAAACTGCACAGCATGACAATAATCAAAGTAGAAAATGCAGAGAAATAAAAAATTTCTGAAAAATGTAAATGAATTACTTTTTTTTTTTTTTTTGCACGTTAATTACTGCAACTGCAGCTAATATAGCTTCGAAGGCACTTTCATTTCCTAGGCATTGGTGCCACATTACATTCTGCTAAATAAGACTTAAAGGTAAATCTCAGCCATATGCAACACTCACTGAAGAGAAAGGCATTTATTATGTTCTTCCAAATTACATAAACTTTTCTGTTTATGGTATATGTAAATATTAGCTATAATTTGGTGACATAAGTGTGGTTAATGTTAATAAAACAGGTAATGACAGAATTTTTGTCATTTATCCATCAAAATAAATATACTTATGCCACCACATTCAAAACAATTAATTCCACGATGATGCACAGTAGGCTTGTTTACAATTCAAAATTCCATTATTTTTCTTTTAAAGCAATTTTATCTTGCATTTAATATATGATGAATTTGGAACAATTTAAACTATTAATGGCAGGAGTTAACATCAACAACTAGTAATTAAATGGTTATTATCAAAATAAAAAACTGAAATGACTGTTTCTAATAAAAGCAATAATGCTAATTTATCAAAAATACTGGTTATTAACACTCATATTCTATCTTTCGAAAGTTTTCATCCTAAAAAAGAAAAATTTAAATATTATTGACAATGTTTAAAAAAGAACTTGATGATGAAAAATGCTTTCCAAGATAAACCTAAAAGCATACAAATGTTACTCATCTTCAAAGCAGCATCAAATTAGACCACCTGGGTGTCTTCTACCTGCCCCAAAAGTTCCCAGTGAATTAGAAAATGATGAAATCTTAAAAGTTTTAGAAAATCATTTAGAACCAAAGACAAATGCTCTAGTCTCATAATATTACTTTCATCAACTTAACAAAAATAAGAAAACTGTATCTCCAGTTATTAGGTAAATTTGCAATGTGATATTGCTGAATGTGAATTTACTGTTGTTTGCAGATGCAGTAAAAAGGTACTGATAGCTCATATTTACATACAAAAGTGCAATTTATGGTTAGTCAATATTTTAGGGTACTCCTTAGACTATTGCCAAGTTGTTATTTCATTTATGGTAACTTGAGTAGTTGAATGTTCTCGAAACCCTATTATGATATGATTGGTTGTAATGAGTCATTGAGGTGATTTTAATTTCTCAGAGCTTATTTCTGTGTTGGATGTCGCATAAGAAGTACATTGCTTATTTTGTGCTGTACACTGTAAAATGGTTGCCTGTGATAAGGTTAATATGAAGTTTCTATACGATTTGGAATAAATGGGAAAAGAAGCATCAACTGACTGGTGTGTAAATGAAGGTTTACTCAGTAATCATTATAAACGATCTGCTTGTACGAAGGAAATGTGTATGATCGAACATAAAGATCACTCAGATGGCTTTGAATGGATAAGTCACAAGAAAAGTTCAAATGCACACTATATAAAAGGTTCCATTAGAAAGGAGTCATGGTTTGAGAAGAGTCATTTAAATATTATCGAGATTTTGATTTTTATGTGGATGTGGGTGTATGAAGCTAATATTAAAATGATTAATGAAACTGAATTAAATTGCTTATTTTTGTGAATTTGTGTAGTGACTGCAGTATACAGATTCTTGTTAAGATAATTTTAGACAGTTTTTAGCTGTTAAGAAATTTTGTGTCGCACATATCAAAGGAACAGAAATTTTTAAATAAGTAAGTTGATATTTCCTTTTTGTCCTGCACAGACTAGATAACACGTATTTCCATTTTTATGTTATTTCCTTGTTTGATTTAAAATGAAGTTTACTGAGATAATATATTTTGTATTTTAATTATGTTTTGGATGTCATTTTACTGGGAAAGGCATTGGATGTAAACAGGAATGGCATGAAAAAATCACCAAGAGGTACCCTGAAATATATTTTTACCCAATTTATTCCTGTCAACTGAATCAAAAAGCTAATATTACAATCTGAATATATTTATTTTAATGCTTTTGTTGATTGAGGCTTAAAAATAAAAAGCTGCAAGTTATTGAAATCACAAGCATTAAATAACAGATATTTCTAGAACTTTCTGCTTCTCGAATTTATTGGAAGGCATATGAGGGCTGAATCATGGTTACAGTTATTCAATTACTATACATATTACAGTAATACATATCACTATTACAGTAAAAATATTGCCAAATAGTCACCAGGCTTGGCAATCTTTGACAATTTTTTGCCAAATTTGGTGAAAAAATTAGTCATGAAAACCCTCGCAAAATTAGCAATAGCCATTGTTCGATAGACTTGCTCCTGTATTTTTACCTTCCCAGAAAGCTTTGCTTCTTTTTATATTCATGTTGCATTAGGATTAGAAACCTAAAAATTAGTCCAGATGAAATTGATCAAAATACAGAAAATAAAATCTTAAAGACATCATTGATACTGCAGAAATTTTTCCAGAAATAATGAATTTCATAATCAAACTGAGATTATATGATGCATCTATGCCTAGTCACATTCCACAATGAAATATAACTTATGCTTCATGAGAAAAGGCTTGAAAAAAATTCTCTTGAAGCAGCTGGAATAATATGTAAACCCAACACAAGGAAACTGGAATGGCCATTAGTTTTAATTTTTAAGTGGGATAGAAGAGTTCAATTTTATGTGGATTAAAATTTTTGTTAATAACTTACTTATGAATGCAAGAAAAACTGATGATCTAAGGGATTCAAAGACATAGGATACACTGTTGAAGGTGATCTCAGTATCTTAATATTTTCTGCCACAATGCATAAATGTTTAATTCTTGTTTGAAAGGTGTTCATTTCTTTCTGTTCTAGTGTGAGTCATAGTCATTAACCTTAAGCAAAAAGATTTTTTCATCATTCATACTTAGTTTTACCATGGGCAGTAACATCAAAAGAAGCTGTAGTTTTTTTTTTTAATCACTTAAACTCGGCTGTAACAGCTTAATTACAAAGCTCTAATCTCAGTACCTTACATATGCAACAATAAAAAGATCTTCAGAAATTTCAATGGCTAATCTTTGGAATATGGTAACAGGTAGTTTGGCGACATCTTGGTAAGGCGATAAAGGTTACTAGCTAGGACTTTAGTAGCAGTGTACACGGATAAAGTCAAGAGTGTGCGCAATACCATTTTTGTGCAAGTCTGGGATGTTTTTTTATGTGAAAATAGGTTGACATGTACATGGATACCATGTATGTGCAATTCTTAAAAACGCGGCAAGCAGTTTTCTATTCTGCACTTTCTCCCAATTCACCTAATCTTCATCATGATTAAGGACTTTTGTTCCATAAAAGTTCTAGCATAAGCGTAATTCGGCTAGCAGATTGTTGGAAAAAAATGCCAAGTTAAAAAAAAAGCCTTTACTTCGTGAAAACAAAATGGCGTCCAAACAAAAACTAGCAGGTTGCTGTAGCAGTATTGGTCGCCAAATTTTCACCAAGTTACCATAATCCAAAGATTAACCATTTCAATTTTTAGGCATTGGTTACTCATTCCAGATTTATATCAAATGTTTCTTCTATTACCTATTCTTTATATAAGGTTTTGCATAAATGTTAGAAATTCTGCTGAACTAAGGAATGTGAGAAAGCTTTCATTAAATTCAAGAAAGAAATATCCAGTAACAATACTAGTAGTCTTCAATCTAAAATTCTCTATCATGCTGGCAACAAATTAAATTCAGGTCGAAGTTGCAAGTGTGTTATTACACATTATCAACTTTGTTATCATTCCCGAACTGAGGCTAAAAGAAATTGCTCTCCACTTAATCGAGAAGCCTGAGCAATTACCTCAGACATCTCTCACCGTTTCAATGACTTTTTATGGTTGTCATTTGTTTAATCAGACTTTGTTCAGAATATTCCATTGAAGAGCAAGCCATGGTAAAATGGCAGCTTGACTTCTGTGATATGCCTCATATTTTGCAGGATTTGATAACATCAATTTAGAGAAAGGTTGGAGAATCAGAATTTCATCATTTATCTAGAGCTCCTGTTAGCCAGAATTACTTATTTACAGATATGTTTAAAATTGCTGAAGTCCATCAAATATTTAGAACTGTTTTTGAAATATCAAGTGACACTCTGACTGCAGATGTTGTCATAAAAGAAATAGAAAAAAGATCAGTAGTTGGTGCAGATCAAATGAAAACTTCAATTAAGTTGTATTAACAATGATTATGTTTTAAATATCAGTATTTTGTTTAAGAATAAATAATTACATTTTAATACCCCCTAAAAAAACTTCAACCTGAGATCATGGAAGAATTGCATGCCACACATATTGAATTAAAATTTAGGATATTAACTAGACACTACTGTACACAGAACACCAATAAAAATAGAGAAAACTTCAATAAATCTTTTCAAGACTTTTCTTCAGTGAAATATAATTCTACTATAGCGATCTTTTAAAACTGCATTATAACAACAATTGAAATCAAATTCATACAGATTACACAGGACCCTTTTAATGATTTCATTATTTAGGTAGAAATTAAAGTATTTCAAAAAGGATCTAATTCAGAAACAGAAATACTCACTAAAATTTTTACAACTTGTGACTATCCTCTAGTTATAGTTTTACTGAAT